ATGAGTCAAGTAAATATCACTTCCAGATTTCTGGTCTGGGTAGCAAGATGACTAGCAATGCCTTCAGGGAGATCTGAAAGACTTTCACAGAAGATTTCTGTAAAGTAATTATTCTTTATCCAGATAATGGTCACACTGGGGCTGGGGATTTAGCTCAGCGGCACAGCACCTGCCTGGCAAGCACAAGGTTGTGAGTTCGATTCCCGATACCAGGAAAAAATTAACAAACAGATAATGGTCACACAGCCGGGCGTGGTAGCGCACGTCTGTAATCCCAGCACTAGGGAGGCTGAGACAGGAGGATTGCTGCGAGTTCCAGACCAGCCTGGGCTACAAAGTGAGCTCAAGACCAGTCTGAATTGCATAGTCAGAGCCTGTCTCAAAAAAAGCAAAAAAAAAAAAAGATAACGGTCACACACAATTTATGTATCTGCTAACTTTCATCAAGCCCTACGTTTACACTTTGCCCATTTCCTAAACGCTAGTTGTAAGTATTGTTAGCATTAAAAACAAAACAAAACCCTCACTGTCCCTAGACAGAAAGCCTCTTTCAGTTACAGCTAAATATATACGAGTCATGTTTAAGGCAAAAACCTCAAAATCCTAAGCCATTGAACAGCAATTTAGAGTTTTAAAGAGATCTCATAAGTCTCCCGGCGCAGTCTCATAAAGACAGAAAGCAGGTGACAAAAAAAATATTACATCTATTTGTGAAGTCAACGTCCAGGCAACAAATATTGTAGCCCAGTAAAGGCCAGTCGTGTAGAGCGCTGCCCACACGCTGCCTGGAACTGACTTGGGAAAGATCACAAGGAGAATTAAACCACGGAGAGATGGGCGCTGAGAACACAAACGCTAAGTGGACGGAGACTCCACCGGGATCACCTCTGCCTGCGGTGGCCAGGGCAGGCTCCTCTGTGGGAGTCGCGGGATGTGGAGCCCAACTCCCGACGTCCTGGAGAGCTGTGACCGCTCCAGGGGCTCGAAGCGGCTGACCCCCGCGCAGAGATCACCTACCCCGCCGCCAGCCCGCGAACAGCCATGGCCTCAGTCAAGGCCCCGAGCCCCTCCAGCGGCCGCTAAGTACAGCTGGCCACACGTGGGGCCGCGCAGGCCCGGCCCGCCGCCGCCTCAACTCCCGCCACTTCTCCCGACCTTAGGAAGCCGCTCGCCCGCTCGGCTCACTGACTCACCGCGACTCCCGGCCCATGCTGCTGGCTGCAGGAAAGCTTCACCCTCCGGGACGCCCAGGAAAACCCGACAAAGGTGGGGGCCGCACTGTACTAGGGCACCGGGCGAAGACCGGCGCTAAGAAGCTACAGCAGCTACAGCCGTAGCCGCCATCCCAGCGCGGCCAACGAAAATAGGACGTGCGGGCTGCGGCGGCAGAAGGAAGGAAACAGCCGACCGGAAGCTGCTGTCTCCCCACAGCGCCCCCTCTCGGCCGGAGGGCGCGCAGCGCCGGCCGCGCCCTAGGAGATACCTCAGTGGGTTGGCGGGGCTGGTTGGTGTGACCGTGGGCTGCAGCTCTGGAAGGGTCTTCGCTTCAGGGACACCTATATATCCTGGGCAGCTTGTTGATGTGCCAGGGCATACACTTATACCCACCTCAACCTCCGCTGAGTAGTGCTACGACCTTCTCCGTACACGCTCTTGATTCATTAAAACATTCACTTATTTACTAATGTGTTGTCATGTCCCGGCATGTGCTAGATTTCCTAAGGGGCTTACAGTTGTGTGAGGGAGATAGACATGACTGAAAACAAAGGTGGATGTAATAAAGTAAGAAGAGTCCACACTGGCCAGGCAAGAGCTCCCTGAGGTGCTAAGGGGGTTTTCGGCTTGCAAGCAAGAGTTAAAGTCCTCGAAGGAGTTAACCCCGTGAAGAGAAAGTTAAAAACACATTAGCAAAAAATTGTAATTCTCAACATTGCCTGCATTGGGAACCTTTGCGGGCGGTGGGGTTTCTGGCTTCCACCGATGGTCTAAAGAGCTTCTTCCATATTGACAATTTTTAATAACCCCACTAGGTGCTCTTGAGGTCAAGAGTGAGCAGAAATGGTCTCCTGGAACACCCACCGAAATGTTTTTGCAGACAGCTGTAATGAAGTCGGGGAGAGACTTTCACTTTTATGTTATATGCTTCTCTATTTTACTTTTTTTACACCTAAAGATGATTTTTTTTCCCCTAAAGATGATTTTTTAAAAAGTTCTCTATCTTGATTGTGGCAGTCATCAGATGGATGTACACATGTTAAAAGTCATTTAACACTTTAACTTGGTGCATTTTATTATGTATAAAGTTTTGCCTAAATAAAGTTGAACTTGGCCCAGCATGGTGGCATGTGTCTGTAATCCCAGCACTTGGGAGCCTGAGGCAGGATTGCCAAGAGTTCAAAGCAAGTTTGGACTACATACTGAGTTCAAGGCCAGACTGAACTACATAGAAAGGTAAAGCTGATATTTAAAAAAAAAAAAAAAAAAAAAAAAATTTCAAAAAGAGGTGAGCAGGACCACTAGTAGAGACAGGAAGAAGTGGTCAGATTCTCAGTGTATTCTGGGGGCAGCTCTCAAAACATGAACTGATGAATTAAATGTGAGCTAAGGGAACAGGAGGAAGACAACTCCCAAGCTTTGAACAGAGCTATTGCAGATTGTAGTGAATGTGTGAAGAAATGCATGGGAAGATTTGGGGTCAAGGGAGAAATAGTGGGTGAGAAATGGGTTAGAAGCAGTTAGCAGAATGCATAATACACCTGGTATGCACAGCCACAGAACTAGGTGAGGCAATGCAGTGAGTGGGTTAACTAACTTTTAAATTAGCAATTTGAATATTGCCTGTCACAAAATTAATGTTACAGCTAAAATAGATTTTTAAATTAAATAAACATCCTGATTTTAAGTTAAAAAACTGAGGCTTAGGAAAGACATTTAGTACTAGACCACTAATCTTGTTGGAATTAAGAGTCTAAGCATCTGACAGGTAGGCCAGAGTTTATGTCATACTTTCTCACTCTCCTTTGAGAGAACCCATTAACAAAGCAATTCTAACTGGCACAAGTATCTCGTATCCATGACAATCAAGTGGCAATTTCATAGCACTTCAGTGTCCTAGAAGCTGCTTTTATTTATTGGTACAGGTCAAAGAAGGGATTACAGTCTTCTCTGTCTCCAATACATTATTAGCAGCAAACTGCCCTAGCTTCCAAATCAGCAGATTTTGATTCTGAGTATGTGATAACCCTCCTGCTCTTTTTAATACCAATGATGATGCACATGTCCACTTACACAATTGACTAAAAAAACTACAGGGGGACATGGTTGAAGATATCATCTCTAAACAACCATCTTTGTCAGTCTAGTTTTAACTCATATATTTCAAAACCCTGACATTTCTAAATAATATTTGAAACATTACTTTGAACAGTAATAAACTTCTATTTCCATTTAATATTATTTGACAAGGAAATTATTGGGGGATGCCAATAAGTTGAGAAAAATGGCGTAAGTAGACACAGGTATCTTACAGGTCTCATTAACATGTAAGTTTGGTAATGATCTGCAACTACTAGAACTTTGCACATATCAGTTGCTTAAACAGGGACTTTTTTTTAAGGAACAAAAGCATTAAAAATGTGCAACTAAACTCTACTAGTGTCCTCCCAAGGATAAACGGGAGAAGTGACAGCTCTAAGCTCTTAATAGGTTTTGTTTTTTGAGACAGGTCTGTGTAGTTCAGGATAGTCTTGAGCTCACTTTGTAGCCCAGGCTGAATTCTAACAAAAGCAATCATCCTGCCTCAGCCTCCCAAGTGCTAGGATTACAGGTGTGCCCCACCATGCCTGGCCACTAGTTCTCTCTAGATAGTAGATTCATTATGAAATCAGAAAATGTACATTTGTAATCTTAATCTCAAAAATCAAAGAAATAGACTTAAATTACTATATTCTCCATTGTTCTATTTTGACATAAAATGACAAAAATCAAGACTTAAGTCATAATAAAAAAGTCCCCAACTTATGAACACTTTTGAGTTGCAAACTTTCGATATGAACAGATCTCATATTACAAACATTTTGGATATGCAAACAAATCACGGAAGTAGCTTGTATCAGTTAAGACATTGTCATCTGTGCTGCTGCGTGCTCACTGGTACAGTGTCATAGTGTACAGTAGTGCAGGGCTCAGTCAGAGCCCAGGACTTCCGGAAGCAAGAGAATAAGCGGTGGTGATATGGAGGGGATGCTAGGAAGCACAAAGCAATACACACTGTATATGTGTGTTAAAGGTGTGTAAGACTCAATTTGTTGGACTTACAAATGAATTCAACTTATCTAACTAATGTTCTCCTGGAATGGAACTCATTGGTTAAGTCAGGAACTTACTATATTTTTAACACCACACAAATTAACCAAATAGACCGTAAAAAGTCTGTAACAAAATATAAGGCTAAGCAATATACCTTAAGTTTTATACTCTTTTAAGAAGACAAACCTTCCAAATGTGACACTGTTACTAAATTAGGTAAAAGGATATTTATGCTATTGGGTTGCATGTCTTAATTATTCCAATCCTGTTTTTAATCTCTCTCTCCTAGTTTACTCTAAAAACATACTGCTAGTCCTGGAGGTATAGGTTCGTGGAGAGCACTTCTCACTAGAATGCATGGAGTTCTGGGTTTGTTGTAAACAAGCAAACAAGTAACACACTCCTGAACTTCTGACAACTGAAAACTCACAAGGGAAAATCGCCAGTTCTGACTGTGGTGTGGTACACAGCAAATAAAAGTTTTAAATAGCTTCTAATTTCTAATGTACATCAGTGCTACAGACTGAACCCACCATCTTGCATTTGCTAAGCTATACCCTTGCCCCACGTTTGTTTCTTAATTATGTCTTCCATTAAATACTGTGCTGATATAAAAATGAAAACACTTCCATTAAATACTGTGCTGATATAAAAATGAAAACGTTTAAAATGTGCAGACTTAACTCAGACAATCCAGTTTCTTTCATTTTATTTTTAAGATGGTTTCCGTTCTGAGGACAGAATGACACAAATACAAGAAGCTATCCACAGGGATAGTTGGAACCATATTTATCTGCTTTTCTAAAATCACTAGCTCAGCCCCCAAAAGAGGCATACAAATCTGGGAAGCCAGAGGAAAGATACAGACTAGGGAGTCTAATTAAAGAAGAAAAATCATCAATGACACTGGTACTCTGTTCTTCAGAGCAGTACTAATGCAAACTCAACCCTTTTAAACCCGTGAACCAGTCATTCCATTCTTAGTAAAGTGGCGTTACAATCCCTACAAAGTAGAAGAAACACATAAAGATGTAAGCCAATTTGCCTCCTTTAGAGACAATGCAATACAGAAGAAATTTTTTTTTTATTTAGCTTCTCCTTCTGAGTTCTGCATGCTTCATGGTACTTCGGAGCCCCAATAATCAAGCAGTTCATGACAAAAGATAAAAGTGAAAAAGTAGACACAAAGATCTGTGAAGACTTCTCCCATTTTGCTGTAAGTATCCATTGACCGATTGATCACTTCAGCAGGAATTCCAGACAGCAGAAGTGCAGCCGTTAGCACTGTTGTCTTTATCTTCTTTTCACTCTGTGTAGAAAAAGACTCAAATTAATGTTACAGCTTTCAGCAAACTACATGAGCTCTACAAAAATATGATTAATACTAATATTAATACTAGTATTTTTGCTTAACTGATTTCAAAACCATTGACCATAATCTGTCAACATTCACTGTACACCTAATAATAGGTAATTCAGTAGACTGCTACGCAGTAACACACAACTACAAAGTAGAAGAAACACATAAAGATGTAAACCAATTTGCCTCCTTTAGAGACAATGCAATACAGAAGAAATTTTTTTTTTATTTAGCTTCTCCTTTTGAGTTCTGCATGCTTAAGTTTTCAAAATGTATCACCTTAGAAACAAGACACAACAATTTAAGACATATATGTCAGCATAAGACAAAAAACAGGAAAAACATTACTAACTGGACATAACTACTGATAAATGACATGGACAATGTGTGGCATGGGGGCTAAAAGGAGACAGTAACTGCTTCAGTGTTTTACAGGAATAAAGCACAAAGAATGATGTCAGAGGCAGTACAAAACAGGACTTCAAGGTAGAACAGGATTTAGACTGGCTCAAGTGAAAGGAAAAATCAAGCCAGAGGTAGAACTGGCCCTACTGGAGAATAGTAAATAATAACAGCATTGTAGGAACATCCTGTAAGGTTCAAATTGCTATTCAAAAACATTCATATCTGATTACAAATGCAATAGGATATCACTAAACAGTTCAGGATACTTTTGGGGGTAGACAGAGCATTCATTTCCTAATATAATTTTCTAGTCTTATTTTTAAGTAATTCAAAACTGTTTTAATGTACTGATTTGGTATCAAAAATTTACTCACATGGATCAATAACTTAATATAAAAAGCTATGCAAAGCATGGTGTGTGCATGCTATTTGAGAGGCTGAAGTGGAAGGATGGTTTGAATCCACTAGGAGCACCCCAGTACTCAGGGGCCTGAGGCAGGAAGACTGCTGCAAGTTTGAGTTCAGCCTGGGCTACATAGTGAGTTCAAGGCCAGCCTGAACTACACAGTAAGGTCCTGTCTCAAAAAAACCAAACCAAACCAAGCCAAACAGCAGTTTGGAAGCCAGGCATGGTAGTTCACATCTTTAATTTTCAGCACTCTGGGAGGGTGAAGTAGGAGGATTACAAGTGGGAGCCTAGCCTGACCAAGTTTGCAATTTAGCAAGCCCCTGTTTCAAAATAAAAACTAAGTAACAAGGGCTAGGGATGTAGTGTGAAGGCCCTGAGTTCAATCTCTAGTATCATTAAAAAAATGGTATTACTCATCAAAAAAAGGAAACCAACTATGAATATACTTCATGACATGGATGAATTTAAAAATATTACACAGAATAAAAGAAGGCTTATACCAAAAAAGTATAAAAAGGAGTAAATGATCCCATTTATATAAATTACTAAAATAGATCTTTGTGGGGTAGGGGCTGGGAATCCCTGAAAAGGGACACACCCAAACTTCCTGAGGTGACACCAAGTTCTAAATCTTAAAAGGGATTTGAGTTTCACAAGTTGTCCTAACTTTCACAAATGGAACACTTAACACTTGAGTGGTTCCATTATAAAAATTTAACCCTAACAAATATTGACTTGTAGCTAATGCTATGTTAGAGTGAAGTATACTGATATGCACATCTACAACATACTTCAAAATGCATCAACAATTATAAGAAGGATTGAAAATGGATACAAAAATCAGTATACAGATGATATACAATGAGATGCTAACTGAAAACTTTAGGTGGTAGTGCTACCTCGGGACTCCTCGTTAAGGACCAAAAACCACTAGTACACAACAAACTGTTTTGGCTGGAAAGGGTAGTGAATTATGAGGCAACTGACACCAAAAAGTTCTAACTTCTGCTTCAAATACTAAATAAACTATAAGGACCAGGATGGGACAAAATCTTCACATCAAAATGTGTTGAGTACCAAATTCAACAAGTTTCAAAACAGTCCATTACCGAGGTTTGACTGTAGGTATGAGTGGGTGTTGACTATACGATTCTCTTGGGTATAAACAAATTTTTGTTGGTTTGGTTTGGTTTGATTTGAGACAGTGTCTTATTATGTAGTTCAAGCATGACCTTGCACGCACTACGTTGACAAGGTTAAGCTCAAGCTCTCGGCAGTTCTCCTCCTTCAGCCTGGACTGCTGAGATTACAGGCATGTGCCACCACGCCTGACTTATAACAAAATAAGACTTCTCTGCTAGAAGTATGGTCTCCCTTTTCTTTTCCCCCTTTACCTAGTATGACCCATACACACTCCTAGGGCAAATAACCATTGTTGAAAGTTGTACGCATATTATTCTGGAGTTTCTTTATGCACATATAAGTAAAATTAAATATATATCCTTTTCTCTCCTTTTTATTAAAAATGAAATATACTAGGAAGCCTATTTCTGCATTTTTTTTCTTTTAATATTTCCTGAGGAACTTATCATTATCAGTAGTACATTCACTTCACTTACTATGGATTTTTAGTCTGTTTTTAAACTTTTGCCACTACCAAACTGTAATTAATGTTTCAACAGTGAATTTCTTTTCTTGTTTTTTTTTTTTTTTTGTGGTGGTGATGCAGGGAATTGAACCCAAGGACTTGCACTTGCTAGGCAAGTGCTCTATCACCAAGATATATCCCCAGCCCAACAGTGAATTTTTTCTTTTTCTTTTTTTTTTTTTTGATACTGGGAATCAAACTCAGGACGTTGCACTTGCCAGGGAGGCACTGTGCTGTTGAGCTATATCCCCAGTTCCCAACAGTGAACTTCTAAATAAGTGCTTTAATTAAAAAGACACCTCTTTACTATTTTGTCTTTTTCTTTTTTGTTTGTTTGTTTATTTGTTTTGTCTTTTTCTTGAGACAGGGTCTTGCTATGCAGTTCAGGCTGTCCTTGAGCTCACTTTGTAGCCCAGGCTGGCTTCGAACTTGCAACGATCCTCCTGCCTCAGCCTCCCAAGTGCTGGGATTACAGGCATGCACCACCATGCCTGGCCTGTCTGTTTGTTTATAGTATTAGGGAAACGAACCTAGGGCCTTCATTTGCACTCAGTTACATTACCAGCTCTTTTCCTAAGACAAGGTCTCCTAAATTGCTAAATTGCCTACACTAAGTTTGAACTTGAGTTCTTCCTGCCTCAGCCTCCCAGAGTGCTGGGATTATAGGCATGTGCCACCACAACCAGATTTATTTACTATTACTTTCTATATTTGACCAATTTGACCCTTCAAAAATATAAATGTTTCAAATACATTAAAACCACACGCAGATCTGTCAGCCAATTAGAATAACTAAGGAGAGGACTGTAAGACAATGGTAAAGTATTTGCCTTGCACTCATGGGGTCCCCAGCACCACCAGAAAGTCCTGACTTAATAACCATTTTCTAGCAAAACATAAAACTTGATCACATAACTAAAGATACCTTTGATGTCAGGCAACCTAAACCCAATAAGATTGTACATCAAGTAGACCAGATAAACACTGATTCTCACCATCACTGTGTTCTGCAATTTGGGCTAAGTATTTTTTGTCTTCAATATTCAAGCACATTGCTATTATGTCCCCAGTATGGGCACAGGAAGATAAATTAAAGAATTAATTTCCTTTATTATAAGTAAAATGAATTACTAAGTTTACTAAGCAAATTGAACATGCTTCTTAGATGAGTACTATTCAAACGCTACAACAAAGGACCACATTTTTTTCCCAAACCAACAAAGGCCAATATTTTTGTAAAATAAAATAAAATAAAATAAAATAAAATAAAATAAAATAAAGTAAAATAAAATAAAATAAAATAAAAATGTTATAGCAATGAGGTCGTGAGTTTGGTTCCCGGTACCGGAAAAAAAACAAACAAACAAACAAACAAAAAAAAACCAAAAAAATGTTATAGCAATGTCAAATTGCAATGAAAGTGACCACTCACTTTCTGAACTTTATGCATCACAAATACAAACAAATAATTTGAAGATTAGCACTGGCAAATGAACCACATTTTGGTTAGCACTGATTCAGACTATAAGAACTAATTTTTTTTTTTAAGTTCTTGAAGTGAGCTAGTCATGAATCAGTGCAAATACATCATCATAATTTAGAAAAGATTTTAATTTACCTTGGGGAAATATTTGTATAGTCCCATGTACGCAAGTTGTAAAGTAAGAAATGGAGCAAATATGGACTGTGAAGATAAAAGATAAAATTAAATATTTCCAACATAATCATTCAAATCACAACAAATCAAGCTAACAATAGCTATAAAATTCCAAGTAAAAAATTATAATTTTTCTTCAAGTCATATCATTAAGTGTTTTCAGTTTCCCTAAAAAGTCTTCTTTCACAAAAATTGACCTTTCAGGTTATTCAGAGTATTAAATAGTGATAAGTATATAATATATCATGTAGTAATATCTGCTTCACCTAAAGGGAAATAACAGGCCACCTGAAGCACACATAAAAGGGCCGGCACTCAAGAGGTGCCATTCATTCCTCAGACTTGTGGGGTAAAGAATTAACCCAGAAAGCCATGATCTTGGGCCCTCAACTGACAAGGCTAGCTATTCTTACCATATAAAACAGCTTGGTGATCTGGCTTCTCAGACAAAATGGAAAAGAGCAAAGTAATATGTAATTTACATAATTATTTCTAAAGTTAACAGTATTATGAAGGGAGCAAAGGAGTAAAACTCACCAGAAAAAATAAACAATTGAAAACCAGAAAATCCAAGCAACAAAAAAACTCACACAAAAATGAGGCACAAAAGTGAAAGATAGCGTTAAAAACATGAAAGCATAGTCTTTTAGGTAAAAAAAAAAAAAAAGTGGCTATGCAGCTTACTAAATCTTAAAAGCATTATTGATCTTTACTGATATCAATTTATCATGGGGGGCAGAACAAATCTATTGAACAGATTCTATTTAAGAAAACACTAGCATGAAAAATAGTTTTATAAAACTATTTTGCTTAATGATATAAATCTCATCTGGAAAACATATTTGCCTGGTACACAGCAAGTAGTCTTTAAAATGTCTACTGAAGGGAAATAGCTTAAAGAGCAAGGCATTGAATGCTTTTCTGTATTCTTCCACATACTGCAAAATAATAGCGCCACATCAGAACAATCATTATGATACCATTACAACATGTAAAATGCTAAAAGATCTTTTGAACATAAAAAAATCATTTCATACTGAAGACCATAGGAACTGCATTTTAATGTTTAATGATAATTAGTCTCTCTCTCTCTATATATATATTTTTTGTTGTTGTTGTTGTTGTTTTCTTTTTTTGTCTTTTTAAGATAGAGTTTCACTATGTACTTCAGGCTGGCCTTCAACTCACTTTGTAGCCAGGCTGGCTTCAAACTCACAGAGATCCTTCTGTCTCAGCCTCCCGAGTGCTGGGATTACAGGCATGAGCCACCATGCCCGGATTTTTTTTTTTTTTTAATAGGCATTTAATTCCTTGGTTCTGGAATGAAACTGCCTAGGTTTAATCCCAGCAGTCACTTAACTGCTGTGTGACCTTAGGCAAATGATTTAACCTAAGTCTTCATTACCTCCTTCACTCAAGTGGTAACAGTATCTAGTTCACAAGGATGAGAATTAAATGAGTTAATGAAAGTGAAACACTTAGAATGGTACTTGCCATCTAGAAAGACTTTAGTAATTGATAGGCTCTCATTCTATAACTAAGATAAACATTTACTATATACCTCCAAAGAGTCTCATGGATCTGATAGATATTAACACTGGGAATGAATTTTACGGATTAAAAGTACTCGTTATTATAACCAACTTGCATTTTCCACACTTGGTTAATAGTTTACACCTCTTTCCTTACCAAGTATTTGCAAACAAAAGCTCTGACACCAAGAGCAAGAAGAGCACATCCCACCAATCTAAATATTCGAAAAGAGTCAAATTCCTCTGTTGTACTTCCATCCTCTTGATGGGGTTTTTCACTGATCAGCTGTTTCCGCAGCTTCATTGCTTCTTCAAATCTGGAAAGGTACTGTTCTAGACCATGGTGAGGCCCCCTTTGGACACTGTCCGCTGTCAGGTCCCCTCTGTTCCGCTGCCGGAGCTCAAGGTTGACATCAGTAGTACACTCCGGTGGTTTCATGAAAGAGTCCAATTTGTCTCCCAGCTGGGTCCCCTTTACTTCTGCCACATCGCCCTGTGGGTCTGTTGTCCCTGTACTGGCAGAATCACCCAGCACTACTCGCTTTGAAACCGAAGGAACGCTGAGGGAGTTGAGTTTATCACCTTCCTGCTGCTTTGCTTTTCCTTGACTTTCTTCTTCTGAGAAAATAAAATTGTAAAGCCTTATGTATTACATACTGGCAAACATCTTACATGTTAATTTTTTTAAATGCTGCTACAACTAGAACTTGACAGTCTCCAAAATAAAAACTAATTTCAAATAAAACAAAAACTAGTTCTTTCTCTACCCCCTCAAAATATATCACCCCCAAAACGGTATTCCTGCAGAGAAAATCATCCAAACTTTGTGGGTAGAAAGTAAGATTAGAAAACAAACTGAGGAAGATATTCAGGTTTGAAGCAAACCGTAAAGATCAACTTTTCATGGACAATATATCCCAGAAGTATGACTGCATCGCAGTCACCACAGGGTGTGGCATAGCTTCAACGACTGTGTATGTAGTCAGACGCCATCAATAAGTACTTAAGTAGTTTTATGATGCTGCTCTAAAGAAAAAGCTTTTAAAGACAGATGAAACTTTGAAAGCAAAACCACAAAATACAGACAGTGCCTCAAGAAAGATTTAAAAAAGAGAAAAAAATCCTGATACTAATTATTCAAGGAAAAAAATTTTCTACTGTATGAGAAGAATCTGAAAATGATGTTCTTACCTCTTGCTTTAACTATCTAGAAGCTCAGAGATATATATTTAATACCTCACAGAAGTCACGTAGATTTAAGGAGCTCCCAACCAGTGACTAAAGGTCAATTACTAAAAGAAACACTCAAAGGGAAACTAGTTAACAGGAGGGCATACTAAATATTCAATTATACTCACATGAAAAAAATTTTATTAGATATGTCTTTGGGCAAGCAATAAACACTCTTTTAGTGTTAAATGCAGTTCCCCAAATGAATGCAGTGATCTCAACTAGTAACAGAAAACCTCAGGTGGGTATGTTGCACTTGTAGGCGCTATAAAGAATGATCACTTCTATTTTTTTTTACTTCTCCGACAAGGTGCATAAGTGAGTGTTGAGGGCACTGAACACTGATACCAAGATGTGACCATTAAGAATCTCTGATCCACGTAGGACTGATTAGCGGCTAACTTGGTAAAGTCGAGCTGGTGTGGGCGGATAAGCATTAAACAGCAAACGGTAAAAGGTAGATGGCAGGGAAAGTGCTGGAAGGAAAACCATCTGAACAGGTGGAAAGGAAAACAATCTCCCCGAGGGGCAGTCTGGGGATAAAAATGTAAGCCCTCCAAGCAAGGCGAGGGGTAGGAAAGGGAGACAGGGGCCGTCTCAGGATAACCGGGCAGAGGGGCTCAGGAGCAAAGCCTCCGCAGCCCGGGTGGGGACACCCCGAGGGAGAGACTGCCCTTGGGTTACGGTAAATAGGAGGCATCACGGGGTCGGGGGGCGGAGGGGAGCAGGGCCTGGTCAGAAAAGTCAGCGGAGTGCAGGGGGAGAGAATAATGATTCCCGAAGATTCAAAGGGATGGTGGGCAGTGGGGGGAAACTGAGGCTCTCACCCGCGCCGCTCCCGGGCCTGTGAAAGCCCATGATACGGTTGATGCGCTGTTCCGAGTTCATGAGCAGCTTTCTCCGCCGCAGCTCAGCCCGACGCTGGGAAGCCGAGAGGCCCGAGCCAGACGGGGCTCCTGGTCTGTCCCCGACCTCGGAAGACATGGTCACAGGCTCCATCCTTCTCTCCAGTACAGGAGAAGTGACACTGGTAGAGGTGGTGGCGGTCGAGGTGGTGGGAACACGGGTGACTCAAGGCCCCGCTGCACACCACGTGACGACCCCCGCCCACTATAGATCCGCCCCCCGAGCGCAGAGCCCGCGACTGCGGGCTGAGCACGCGCGCGCCCTCCGGGGTGACCGCGCGCACGGTTCCGGCGCCATCTTGGATGAGGGCAACTCAGGCTTCCAGGGCTCTGCACTCCCTCGTTAGATGTCACTGCACGCTGTCTCTGCCACTGAGTCTCCTGTTACTCGGACGGGAAGACAATCAGCACGCAACCTAGCGGGTGGGACAAGGATGCCCGTGAGAAGGTGCACCTTGAATTGATGCCAGGAAGCAAAATGGAGGTTGCTGTGGCCTCGCTTGCTGAGCTGAGGAAATACGTAACAGGGAGCGACGCTTTAGGGAGTGTTGCGCTGAGATTTGTTGTAGGTGTAGGTTGTTGTTCTAGCTACATTTCTTCCAACTGAGTGGGTGGTTTGTTTTCAGGCATTCCTTACATTTTTATTCAGAGGAGATTTTCCCAGTGAAACATTCCGTGTCCGTTCTGTCAAAAATTGCCAACATTCCTTATTTCCTTTCTCCGTCTTTTTATCTTACATAGTCGTAACTACCTTGGATGCTAAATGTACTCATTTTATTTATTGTCTGTATCACGAACTGGAATGCCAGCTCCAAGAAAGCAAGTACTATGTTTTGTTCATTGTTGAGAGTCCTAGAACAGTGTTGGCTGACCTAAAGACAGACGACGATCTTCAGATCAATAGAGATAGTCTATTCTTTAAGGCCCACAATGCTAATCCCCTGATAGTCTTGGGGACCACGAAGATGTTTTGGGTTTGTTTTAACATCAGAAGAGCTTACATTAATAATCACTGCATTTAAAAAAATCACTGCATAATGATGAACCCAATCTGTTTCATTTGGTTATCATTATTACCAGTGGTCAGTCATAAAACATAATTTTAAGATTTTATGGAAGGCACCAAAAGTACCTGAGTAAATGAATGAAGGAATTGACTGTCAACCCTTACTGAGAGGTCATGATAGCCAAGTCACACCTGAAGCTGCAGTTGGTGAAGCAGCCTAAATCACACCAAAGATGAAGAAACTTGCTGGGGCGTAGTGGTGCAGCCTTTAATCCCAGCTACTATTCTGGAGGCTGAAGCAAGTGGATCACAGATTCTAGGCCAGCCTGGGCAACAAAAATTTAGTGAGACCCTATCTCTTTCTTTCTTTTTTTTCTTTTTTTTTTTTTTTTGGTACCGGGAATTGAACTCAAGACCTTGCCCTTGCCAGGCAGGCGCTTATGCCACTGAGCTATATCCCCAGCCTGAGACCCTATCTCAAAATACGAATTTTTAAAAAAATTGTTTAGAGATGTTGATAAGTTTGAAAGCCCTGGGTTTAATAACCAATACCAAAAAGGGGGAGGGGGTGAAATGAGGAAGGGGAAGATGTAGCTCAGTGCTCTGGGGGTTCAATGCCCAGTACTGAAAAACAAACAAAAATCAGGAAGCTGGGTCTGCAGATGTGACTCCGTGTTACGGGTTGCCCAAGGCCCTGATTTGATCCGCAGATGAAATCATCATTATCATCATCACAATCATCATCATTTTAGAAATAAAAAATGTAGTGATACAATATAAAATTAAACTCCAGTCTGGGCATAATCAAGAAACAATGGGTAAAAATAGACATCTACTATGATTTCTGGGGGTTTAAAAAATAGAGGGTGCCGGTGTGGTGGTGCAGGCCTGTAATCCCAGCATTTAGGAGGCTAAGCCAAGAGGATCACCATGAGCTCGAAACCAGCCTGGGCTACATAAGCAAGTTCAAGGCCAGCCCGCACTACAGAGTGAGATCCTGCCTCAAAATAAACAACATAAAAATATAAGATATGATAGAGCAACAAATATTTGAAAAGAAAATGGGTATTTTCTGTAATTAAAAAAACAAGGATCTTCAGATTAGTGTTCTCTGAATAATGAACAAGTTAAGCAGTAAATGCAGGGGAATAAAACTATAGAACATTTAAGGATAAAAGAAAAAATTTAAAAGCTAACAGAATATCTTCAAATGAAGAACCAATGGACTTACAGTAGCTGTTTAGGTGGTTTGGTTTGGTTTGGTTTGGTTTGGTTTGGTTTGGTTTGGTTTGGTTTGGTTTGGTTTTTGAGACAGGGTCTTGCTGTGTATTTCAGGCTGGCCTCGAATTCACTATGTAGTCCAGGTTGGCCTCAAGATCAAGGCAGTCCTCCTGCCTTGGCCTCAGCCTCCCAAGTGCTGGGATTACAGGCATGCATCATCACTCAGGGCTACAGTACACGTGTTAGGAGAAATTATTTTAGGAGTAGATTTTCTTCAAGTAAACAACAAAAATATCAAGGAAAAAAAACTTAAAATCTAGAACTTCAAATCCAATTATACTTGAGGGTGAGCATCAAGAATTCAGTTTATGGTCATTCAGATACATACTTAGGAGATTTAAAGCACCTCCAGCTATAGTTTCCCATTGACTTAACTTAGATGCTCAGCATAGCACTACCAGTGGTTGGTTGGCAACTTGTTCATACCACGATAACCATTCACCATATATAAGCTCTTTCAGTTAACTGTATTGAATACCCACACTGATAAGTTAGCACAGATCATACACTTGTTTGCAACTGACTTTTTACAGGACTAAAACAGCGAAAATTACAAACTGTAAAAAGAAAACAAATCTCTAACATTTTAGAGAAGCAAGATTTAATACAATGCAATGAAGATTAATACGTATTTGAAATTTAAAACAAGAATTTAATGTTACAATATTAAACACTACTTTATAAAATTAAATTTTCTATATAAAAATTATATTTGTATGAGTTGACAAAATCTTGAAACCACATTTGGTAGTTCCCAAGAGCTGTTATGCATCTTTGATTATAAGATATAAATTTTTGACCCTAGTTATCGATAATCTGTTAGACTTAATACAATAAATTTAAAACAATGAAATTGCAAACTAAAAGAAATGGTACTGCTTGAGTGAATATCACTATGTCAAACTTTTAAAATGTTACTTAAAAAATTCTGGAAAATTTTGATGATAGAACTGCCATGCTGAGGTATATATACCAGATATATATATTCCCCATGTTTATTTTTTAGTACTTCTAGATCTATAGAAAATTTAAAGATTTTCATAATATACAATATGATTGTTTAATGGCATAAGGTAAATATTAGCTGTGTTAGGACAAAAAGTAATGCAAGCTGATACTGCAGATAGTGCTCCACTTCCAAAAAATCAAAAACATTCAATATTTCAAAAATAATTGTTATATACAAAAGTCCTCAATTCTCTTATTATCTGGAGAACAAATATTGTGAGTCCTAACTAAAATTACTATTTTTTTTTTTTTTTTTGGTTTTTCTCCGGTACCAGGAACCGAACTCACGACGTTGTGCTTGCCAGGCAGGCGCTTTGCCACTGAGCTAAATCCCCAGCCCTATTATTATTATTTTTGGTACCAGGAATCGAACTCAAGACCTCAGGCTTGCCAGGTAAGCACTTATGCTGCTGAGCTATACCTTGGCCCACTAAAATTATTTTTAATGACCCATTATGGAATTATTCTGGATTACACATGTTACACAGTATGTAAAATACGTTTTAAAAGTAAGTCTGTAAAACATGTTAGCAAAGCATGTGGTAATAAGAAAAATTTATACTCACTTAGGAATATAATGAGGCATGAGGATGGTTATCCTTAGAAGCACAAATGTTTCCCTCTAGAGAAGATAAGAATCTTACTGCTACTAACAACAGACCTAGGGCTGGGAGTGTTGGTCAGTGGTAGAGCAGTTGCTTAACATCTAAACTCTGGGTTCTCCCCAGCATCTGAAGGAAAGGGAACAAAAGAAAAAGATAGGACCTACAAATATCAATATTTAAAATAATATTAAGAGGAAAATGTTAGTTCTAGAGCAGGGTGTTGTAGTACGTCTGTAATCCCAGTACTCTGGGAGGCTGAGGCAGGAGAATCATGTATTTGATCCCAGCTTGGGCAATTTACTGACATAGCAAGACCCTGTCTCAAAAAATAAGAATGGGGGTAGGGAGTTAGCTCAGTGTGAAGACCCTGGGTTCAATCCCCAGTACGAGGAGGGAGCACTTCAGTACACGACCCTTTCTCAAAGAGGAGAAAATATAAATTTAGTTTACTACCATTTGAAAATTGCTTCCTAATAAATGAAGCAGCTTTTAAGAAGATTGGCAGTTCAATGTGCCACTTACACACTAAAACAAATCTTAACACTGTTTAAGGAAGATGATATTTTCATAAAGCAATTATTCTGACCCAACTGGGAACTAGAGATTTGATTCTTCCTTACACCCCATTCAATGAAAGTCAGTCCATGTGTATACAAACGTGAAAATCGCTGTTTCCTTGGTGACTGTGTAAGACCAAGATTGTAAACACATTTTCTAAGTTATTAAAACAAAGTAATACACAGCTTTTCATCAAGTATTATACATTAATATCTTTTAAGAAGTTTATATAAGACAAGATGAATCTCTGGAAGATAAGCCAAACTTTTTTGGGGGGGACCAGAAATCAAACTCAGGACCTTGAGCTTTAAGCCATACTTTTAAAAATATATCACAGCACTTTATTTACCTATTCATAAATAACATTTGTTCCATAGTTTTGGCTGTCATATTTTTGTTCTGAATTTTAAAAAAACTCTCTTGAGCATGTTCAGAAATCAAGTTGTTTCATAACTTCAGTATACTTCAATATATTCCATTTGTGTGACCTTAATATCCACGGAAGTAAACAGAGGCATTCATGCTTAATAGGTTTTTGTTTTGTTTTATTTTGGTGGGGGTTTTTTGTTTTTGTTTTTTTCTTAGTACAAGGAATTGAACCAAGACCTTCATCAATGTTAGTTAATAGGTTTTAATATCCCAGAATAAATATTTTTTATGAAAGGCTTTCAACTTAATTATTAAATTTATTATAAAAATACTACCAATGCATTTGAGATAGCATTTCAGAAAACGTTAACTTCATCCTCATTTCACCAAATTAACATTTTTATTATATATCATAGAGTGGACATGTACCAAGGAAAAACCCCCACAGGATTAAAACAGCTAGTATTTCTGATCTCCTTGTTATCATTGCCAGCCCAAAAATATTTATGAAAACAGCTTAAAGTCTTTTCACTGAAGAATAAAATAGCATGTTCACATTATCTGTCGCCCAATCAGAAAATCAAAATTTGATGAATTTATAATCTTCTCAAGTAAGATTGAAGCTAGCTTACTCTAGTTTTATTTACCATAATG